GCCACAAATGCATTAAAGGCAACTAAAACAAAAAAAAAATAAAATAAATTGGAAAAGTTAGTTGCTGAACAAAAGTTCAAGAAGGAAACTCAAATAAAAAAGCCATTCAAGCAATTAGCAAAGCAAATACGCGCAAACACATCTTGGAACAACAACAACGAATAAAACGCACACATATTGTGCAAGTAATGTAAACAAAAAACTGTTTGAAGTACCAACTTTGTTTGTTTGTCGGGAAATTGCTTGCCACCGTCTGGTGCCCACAATCGTTTGCCACCCCCACGACTACCTACTTACGTCTTCAGCTACACACAAAGCACTACATGGCGTATAAGTAACGCGGTGCACCGCTAATGGCTGACTTCTGGCTACATATACACAACTACGGGTACATAAGTATATATACATGTGTAAATTGAAGAGCAGCAGTGAGTGGTTGAATAGCGTCACTAAAATGACGCTTGACAATGCGCGCATACATATGTACATATGTTATACATATGGTACAATAGAGTGCCTCGCCAAAAACCAAGTAGCGGGTTTTCCACCGGAATTATAAGTTTATTTTTTTTTTATTTAAAAACTTTCGGAAAAGTATTAAGAATGACTTGAGTTGGAACGAAAGACCCACAACAATGGGGTTTTTAATTTATACCTTAAATAGGAAACACACAATCTTAAACAAACTAGAAACATAATTTTAAATTATAGACCAATCGATTGATACCAAATTAATATATATATATATGTTTAATGGTTTTATCGTTATTTGACCAAGCCTTTTATTTTTGACAAAAAAAAAAAATAAAAAAATTATTGGCTTGCTTTAACTGTTATTATTTGACTGAAAAAATGAGAGTCAACTGTAATGTTTCAACAAAAAACTTGACAGTCGAAAAAAAAACTGTTTGCTGAGACTTTTATTATAAAAGATATAACTGGATGGGTCCCTGTTTTTAATAAATAAAATTAGTTTTCAAAAATATTAAAAAAAAAAAATTACCTCACACGAAGATCGAAAACAGTACCAAACTTTTTTTATGTGCAGAGTTTTGCACCCGAAGTTTCCAAATCTTTTACCATCTAGCCATTGAGATAGATGTGGAAAAAGAAAATAATTTTTAGGAATTTTTTCGGGGCTTGCCAGGATTTTCAAATCAAAGATTACATTCAATTACATTCAAATCTTTACTATGCTTTTTATATGTATATGCTAAAATTTTACTTAATTTTTGTTCTTTTTATAACATCTACTTTAGGCTGCCTCACCCAAAAAAGTAGAGGTTTTTCACCTGAATTATGTAATTTATTTTAAATTTTTAAATTGCCACAAAATATTACCAAAAATTAATTAAAAGGACAAAAAAAAAAACGATTTTCTCCTAATAGATAAAATAAGTCTTTATAAATACTTTTCCGAAAAATTACCACAGATGATATAAAAGCTTAAACGTCTGCAGAAAAATTTTAAGATTTACGTGAGCTGGATTGACTTGAAAAGACCCACAAAAGCGGTATTTTTTGTACATAAATAAAATTAGTTTTTAAAAATATTTTTCTCAGACATTTTCCAAAAAATTTTTCGCGAACGTTTAAAAGTAGAAAAAGTTTTACAGTTCCGATGAAAAAACATTACCGATATTTTTTTTTTGTATCGTGAGTAATGCACGCTAATGTACAAGTTAAAGCTAGTACCCACGCTAAAATGCGAGTATTTGTAACTCAAGTAGGTAAATAGTTAGTTGCTGACGTCTGTAGCCTAGCCCATTGGGGCGGTGTGCGGCGGACCTAAGGACTTGCAAACGGTCTGTCATAGCCGCGGGAAAAGTTTGAGGACTTGAATGTTGGAATATTTTCTAGCGCCAGGCGCATTTGTGTGTGTTTACCTACGAGTACTGGAACACGCAACTACTATTAGTCAGCGCTCATATTAGCATATGAAGCGGGGTGCAAGCGAGTCGATGTACCGGTGAGTCAGTCATGCATACGAGTACTAGGGGAGTTAAACGTTGGTCATGTGCAGGTGCAAGGGTCGTTTTGTTGTTTTTGTGCTCGCATTTTTAGCGCTTAATTTGGTGGAAATGTGTGCGCTGGAGAGGCGGTGTCGATGTACACACTTCAGTAGATATACATATGTGCATACAAATGTATGTATATATTTATAAATATACATACCCACCCACATGTATGTATGTAGAAATGCCTAGTTATTACTGCACGCACTTTAGCCTACTTTTGGACGTTTGTACTTTCAACTATAAACCTACATACCACTTGACATGGAACTTAGAGATCACTTTGCTTTTGTTTTCTAATGAGTCTACATATCAGCGTCAACCTTTGCAGCAAAGTAGGCAATCATTAAAAGTATACAAAGTGCCGTAGTAAAACTTAGCAAACATTTCCGCGTCATTTGCCATTAGGCTATTATTAAAATGTATTTGCTTTTACACCCATCAGAGCTGCCCTTTTCCGTTAACAAAATGCCTGTAACCCCATTATATTCTGCTTATTAAATACATACATACATTTTTCCCATTATCTGCCATGCTACTTAATTAAAGGTCATTGCTTTTGCCAGTCTTTACTTTCCACATTTGTTCCAACTCAACACTTAAGTGCCTTTTTTCTGTAGCAATTAATTAATTTTTTTTAAGACTTTGATGTTGATTTATCAATTATTACAAAATTAACTTCATTGTCATCACATCAAAAGTTTCTGACAGTCATGAATATTCATTAAAATCAATTTTTGAATGTTGTGCAGCTATTAATGGTGTACAGTGAACAGTGGTCACGTTAGAAAAAATATCAGCCAAAGTATTTGCAAGGTAACCAAGGTATGTATGTAGCTGTTTTTTTTTTTAAATTTGTATAGAAGTATTTATAAACGGGATATTCCATGTCAACCGAATCATGACTGACGAGTCCGAAAATTGGAGTGAACTAGAAATTTCAAACAGAACTCGCTTTGAAAGCTTCAGTTTCTTCTTTAAAGGACTATGGACGTCTTTAAATAAGCCAGTATGGCAGGTCTTATATAGCGTCTAAAATCAGCGAAAGAAAAATTTGCAAAAATCACAGAGAAAAAAAAAACTCAAAAGATGGTAAGGTAATCCTGCTAATCTATATATGAGGCATTCTTCTTCAAATGAAGTCCCGCTCTCTGCGAAGTGGTTCAGTAAAAAAATCAGTCATATCCTTGAAAACTCGGTAAAAGTATTTGTTTTTAAATGACGAGTGACGTTTTTTTAAAACCCAATGTGGTGGAAATTTTTTTAAACATTTATTGAATTTGCTTGAAATTTGTTACTCTAGGATCGCGGATAAATTTTTGATAATTGAAGGGGTTCATTTGAAATTTATTACTCTAGTTAAATGCCTCTGTTTATTTTCGTTTACTCAAAAAAAAAAACTTTACGTTCATAATAATTAATTTTTTGCGTATCAAGAAAATCGCCTAAATAACTTTTTCTACTATAGCTAAAATTTTCTTAGGGTGTTTCGAAATTTTATTGTTATAAGGCAAATGCAGGCTTTTTTAAAAACGAAGTAAATTAGTACAAATTGTTAGTAATTTTCATTAGAGTTTGAATAACTCCTTTCACTAAATGGCTTTTAGTAACTTTACCGAGACCTTAACTTTTTTTTATTTTATTAATTTTTGTGCAGTTTTGAAAAAATTTTCTTGCTAAAAAATCTTTTGTTACACTACTTCACTTTATTCCTATGATTGTACAGGTTAAATAAAAGCTTGTTTTTAAAAAATATTTTTTTTTTACATTATTTTATTTTATAATTTTTAGTCCATTTATAAAAGCGTTTTGCAATAGATATTAAAATAATTCAACTTGCAATGGAAGAGAACAGAAGACTTGGCAAGCAAAATGTTGTTTACTTACGTTTTGTATAAACATACATATGTACATATAGCAGCAGTTAATTTTATTTAAAGAAATGGCGTGTCGTCCATTTCCGCTGTAGCATCGCATATATTTAGGCGCAATATTTAACTTCTTCTGGCGGGGCGACATCTGGAGTCTTCTAATTATATCTCCTTGATATGATGCCTACAACGAGGTTCATATCTAGACTAGGTTGATATCTAGAATTTGCCACAAATAGCTTTGCTACACTACCGCCGCGGCGCGCCGGCAGCTTTAACAATTCTATAGTGGTTTTACGTTCTTTGGCAAATTACGCTCTGTTAGCCATAAATCTTACTATTTTTTGACCGCCTTTGAATCAAGACCCCTGGACCATATGGGGAATTCATTTATATTTTAAATTGCATTGTCATCGTGATTGGAACTATGCTGAAAATTTCAAGCCTCTAATTTGTCGGGAAGTCGGTTTAAAATCGATTAGAAATTTCCACGATTTGCGCGGGATGACCAAGTTAAATAAAAGCTTATAAAAATAGCAAAAGAAACAGATCTTTTTTCTTAAAAAAATTGTATAAAGTTGTTGGAAATTGATGTTCATTCCTTTTCCGTTTAAAAATTTAAATTTAAGGCTTATTCTAAGTAGGTGTTGCTCATATTGCTCCACGAATTCCATTTATGCATGGCAACTCAAAAATACTGGGACTTTCATAATTTTCTATAAAATTTTTCCTATTGAAACAATTGTGACGTCTCAATTTTTAACGTTCAATAATTCTTTCATATTTCAAGATTCAAAACAGATTTTATTTTCTGCATCATTTTAATAATGGAAGTATCTTCAAAATTTTAGCGCCGCAGATTTTTCTTATTTAAAAAAATATTGCGCGTAGAGAAAACTTAATAAAATATACAAACTCTGTAAGCGCGTAATGTAAAAAATTGCAAGTACAAAAAAGTGTCTAAAAATTTTAATAAAACCCAAGAAAATTGCAAATTGAAGAAGGAAAATTAAAGTAATCAAATTAAAGACCAGCAACAGCTATAAGCCCAGCAGCAGCACCAATAAACCTTAGCCACTGCACTCAAAAAAATTAACAGCAAAACAACAAGAACATGCAGGCTCATCACGCCATGCCCGATTTCCGCTGTCGCATCACCTGCTCGCACAGAGAATGCCAGCGCCACGCCCACCTCGGCGTTGTCGATCAACATGAACAATGCAAGTGCCTCGGCGAGGTGAACGCCTCATCCATCTTCCTCGAGAATGTCCTGGACATGGCCAACACATTGGCACAAATCATGATCATCTGCGGCATACACGAATGCAAGGCCAAGTCGACGGTCGATGTGGCAACATGCGCCTTCCTGCACTACGACCAGGTTTGCTGCTGCATCGATACCACACCCAAGAAGCGGCTGCGCAAAGAGGATCTCTTCCACGAGCTAGGCAAGCGGTGCTTGATGAATCGTGTGGAGGCGCATCTCGCCTACATGATTATAAAGCGCGGCTTCAAAGCTTTCTACTACAAACCAATCGACGATGGCCGGGCGACTTTCTCAGAGGAATGCGTTTATGTGCATGCCGCGCGCAAGACGGCCGAGAGTTATGCACGCTACGATGGGCTGTCGTGCGTGGAACAGCGCGGCTTTGAGGCGAAAATTAAAGTGGCTTACAAGAACTTCTACGATCGAATGGTGAGACGTAGAACTCAACCGGAGGGCGAGAATTGCAATTGCTGCTTCTGTGCCAAGAAACGTGGCCACCTAATCTATGGCAAGAAGCCACCATGCGAGACGCCCAAGAAGAAGGAAGCGCACCGCTGCCCGTATTGCTGCCAGGAAAAACGTAGAAAGTTAATGCATCCGGGCCGCGCTGGTATGAAGTGTCCTAAATGCCATCGCGCGATGACCTATTGCGTATGTCCGAAATATGAGTTCGGGCTGGATTGGGTGAAGAGCATCTGGGCACGACCCGATATGGAACTGTACTACAAGGAGACAATTGAGGAGCGTTCAATGGCAAAGAGTGGCTGTGAAACAGAAATACCGGAACCAGAGGTGAAAGAAAAAGCGGAAGAGGAGGCCGAAGGAGAGGAGGCCGAGGGAGAGGAGGGCAACGAGTATCTGAGTCCAGATGACCAGCCTGCTGATGCAGATATTGATATGCCCGTCGACGAGGAAGAGGAAGGCGAATAGTGAAGGCGATCAGTGAATAGAAATTGAAAAGGAAATAAAGAGAAGAACGCAGAAATTGAGGAGGAATAAACGACTGGCAATAAATATATAGGCAACACTCACAATAGGAAAAGACGTTTTGAAAAATTATAAAAATTATTTGTTAAACTTTGGCAAAAAAAATATAATTGCAATAAAAACTAAGAAAACCAAGCATAACACATTTGGAAGGTAGACCGACATGGATACTCGGATAAAGATAAGCACCTACCCAGATAATAATAACCTCCTACCTAGGTACCCGGACAAAAAAAAAATCGTTATTCAAGTACCCAGATAACCTTTTGCCCGGGTACCCTGGAAAAGATAACCGCCTACCCGACTACTGGGATAAATATAACCCCATATCCGGCTACCCATATAAAGATAACCCACTACCCGGGTCCCTGGCCAGATATAGCCTGCTATCAAGGTACCCAAGATAATCCTGTACCCAGGTACTCCAATAGAGCTAATAGCCTACCCAAGTACTCAGATAAAGTTCCAGGTCACCGGATATATATTACCCTCTACCGGGGTAATTTGTTACCCCTAAAATAACTGACCAACTTGTTACAACGAAATTGAAAAATTCGAATAAATTAACTTTCTATCAAGTTATCGATGGCTATCGAACGCCCTATCTCATAATTCGGTTCAAAAATGCCCTTTTTCAAACGAAAACACATTGAGCTGATATAGGTCGATCTTCCACTCAGCCATCGATATAATGTATTAGTTTTAATTTCTATTTTAATTTTTTTTTCAATGCTGTAAATAACAAAATCAGCTCCATTTACACGCGACCAATATTACACTGAGAGAAAAATCAACAAATATTGGTTAATATTACCAAATTCAAACTTGAAAAGGAATCAACGTGACTTTTGGTTATTATTAAAAATGCCTTGGTTGATATTTTCAACAATGATTTGGTAATATTAACCACAACTTTGTTTACATTAACCAAACTTTTGGTTACCGATTTTTTCGTTTGAATACGTTCATGTTCTGCACTTCACAGATGCTTTTTCATAGTTCGGAGATACAAAACAAAAATTTTTATTATCATTTTAACATGTTGCCTCTGGCGGGATTAGCAGCAAGCATCTCTACACACTCAGCCACAGCCGCCTTATAAATGTTTCTGCAAATATTAAACTTGAATCAATTTTCCTCGTCGATTGATTTAGTTTTGCACTTCACAGACGCTTTTTCATAATTAAGCAAAATCAAACACAGAAAAAAACAAAAATTATATATCGCGCTTACAGCATTCGTACTGCTGGAAGCTAACATATAACGGCAAGCACCTCTGCTCGTTCAGCCACAGCCATACATACGAATTTGTTCTCAAATGTTCAGCTTGAATCATATTTCTTACAATCGACTTATTGACCACGAAAAAATCAAACCATAACTTGGTTGAAAAAACCATTGTGCTTTTAGCTCAGTGTAATAACCGAAAACAAGCGACTATTACAAATAAATATCCTAGGTAAATCTCAGTGAAGATCTTTATCTTGAAATCAAATATAAATCTCAGTTGCCAATCAAAATAAAGCGCGCATTTGTATATCTATCCAAGATAAACCTTTATGTTGCTGTGCCATTGACACAGGGCAGCGAATTCATATCTCAATTCGCCTTGGTAGAGAATTGTTACAGAAACGTGCTACAAGCTGAGACTATGTAAGAAGCTTGCGACAATTTTCGGATCGCTATGGTACTTTTGGACGCATGATATGAATGTTTTTGTGTCAAAAAGTGCGAGAGGGATTCGACAATTGTCGCAAACTGGTTACAGAATCTCCCTCTGGTCGAGGGCTTTCCTCAAGGCGAACTCATACAAGGTGGTATTGCCGGAGCAGCTTTAAATTTTTTGGCGAAAGAAATTTGTCGTGAAGAGTTCTAAAATAATACTGCTAAAAGTACTCAATGATTTTCGTTTTCCAATTCCATAAAGTTTTCAAAATCATTAAGAGGAGCATTTAATAAATCTGTCTGTTATTATTAACTTTCCTTTCCCATTGCCTACAAAGTTGGGCAAAATTAATTCGAATGACGAATAACAAATGAATAAATTATTTTTCTCGTTATTTGTAAACAATAAATAACTTTTTTTATTCAAAGAATAATTATTTGAATGATGGATAAATTATTTTATTCGTTATTCGAATAATTATTATCTTTATTTATTATTCGAATAATGAATAAAATAATAATAAAACAAGTAATCTATGTATATAGGTATGCACATACATATATTTATGTATAAAATTATAGCCTTTTTCGTTGTTCGGAATCAACTCAAAACCCTGGATAGATGTAAGTAAAATTTTCGGAAGTTATTCCCTGCGCATAAAATCCAATTAA